TACCATTATCCTGATATCAAGCGGAAAAAACCCAAAGAAATCAAATTAGACTTGCCCAGCAAACTGATATAACATGATCATGAGAAGGCAGCTCAGAGCAGAGTGAAAAGAGACCTTTGCTATAGTATATACAATGGGACAAAAAGGTCTGTGCACCAGGTGGCTCACAGAGCTACACAACCACATCAGAAAATTAATGGAATGTATTGCATTGTCTTTATTCACTTTGTCAGTCAACGTTACTTTTTAAAGCTGACACAAAACATTTTGAACTGATGTTCGACATAGATTAGACCATTCAGAAGTAAAAGGGATCATAGAATCATGGAATGGCCTAAGTTGGACGGGACTTTAGAGATCATTTAATCCAACCTCTTCGTCATGGGCAGGGACCTAAGCAAAACTGAGTTATTAATTTCATCTGCTCAGAAATTTATGACAATTACAAAATGAGTTTTCATTTTATTCTGTTACACGTATGGAGACTACTAATGTAGGTAGGATCTACTTCTGCATTTTGTAAGAAAAAGCATTTCTCTAAAGATTTTAACCTCTTGGCCTCTAAAGGGAATACTATCCCAAGAGAAACCGTTGAAAGCGTTTTCCTGAGACAGACTATTTAAGGAATAGCGAAAGAGTAACTTACTTCTAATTATAGATCAATGATCTAAGTAAACTAACCATAAGGCTTTAAATTGTTTCCTGCTCTGGTCTAAGCTATAGGTTATCTGATTTACATTTCACTGCATACATCTCCCTATACCAGGTGTAACTGTGCACACAGGGGCTCGTGATGGGCTTCCCTGGGCCTCTTACCAGTGTGATGGGAAGTATTTGAGTTCATGATGAGCCACTGGCATGACAGATGGCCACTGGCCACCCGGGCACTGGCCTTTCCCATGACTCCAGCCGAAGATCAACACACCCATGGCTACATTTTCAATAAAGTCAGCTTTCAGATGTGCAGTCCTCTGAACTGCTGCACCTCTGCATTGCTAGGAGTTAAGCTATCCTGAACCTCTGGGTGAAAAAATGAGCTTTTACAAAAATTATCTTTCCTCATGAGCCCCAGCCTTTGCTTTGACTCTTCTGTATGATTTTTGAAAGTCTGTCACTCTTGTCACAGATGTAACCACCACAAGCTGGACCTGGCTGGCAAGTATTGCTGGATTGCTCATTTGGCCATTGTCAGTCCTCAGAAAAGATAAGGGTGCGGCAGGATATTATAAACCACCACAGCCTGTGTGCTTCTTGTCTCCTGATGCTTCCACAGTATTGACCCAAAGCTCCAGCCTCCAATAACATCTAAAGTTTCTACTCTGGTTCCTCCCATGCGTTACCTCTTTTCAGATGGGTTTCCTGTTCTTCGATTGCATCATTCAGTGTGTCCTAAGGTCATCTCAAACTGCCGACAGGTGGAAAGTTAGTTTGGGCTTTTGCTCCATCACCTTTCAGCGTCTGCTGAGACTGCAGCCAGAAATGCTGGTTAATGCAGGTAGGGTGGGTACCACAATGCCCAATTCCTCCGGATTTTCCTCAATATTCTGCTCCCTCTCAGTCTGTTTCCTTTGACAAGCAGGAGGTTTTTTCTGTTTGAGGGGAATAAAAACCCCATCTGATTCCTTAATAGCCAGGAGGGCTCCATGAGCCACAGCTCACTCTAGAGCTAGTTTACAACCCTAAGCATGCAGCCTGGATACCTGTGAGTTAAATCTAAGGCATTTCAGGGAAATTAGAAGCTGGTTACCTTTCACACCTCTTCTAAGGCACCTTAAAGCACCCTCTTACATCTCAGTAACAGGAACTCTTCTGTTTTTATTACCTGATAAAGATGAGAGGTAATTGATCTGAGCGAGAGCTCATGTTTTACACATGAAAATGGGCAAATGGGGTTAATTAGATGAGATCAAAAAAAGGCCAGTATATACAGATTTCTTTACCTTCTGGTCTCTGAATCTTCAGGCAGGGTCCAGGTAAAGTGTCAAGTTTCTGCAATTTACTAGAGTACTGAAGACTAAAACGATCCTTAAATACTGGGATTTTTGTGCAGTCTCAGGATATCCTGCAGCTTGAGTATTAGAGGAAAAGATTGTCTGGTCTTTAAACCGTAAGAGGAAAGAAAATGAGAATGGGGTTTCAATGCACTTACGAGACAATACAAGTTAAGTTTCAATACAGAAAACAGTGTCAAAGTGGGGAGAATGTGTGGTCATGTATGTCTTACGGAGAACAGTATTAAAAAACCCCAGGCCTTCAATTTTTAATCAGGTACTCTTAGAGTTCACTTTTAGGACATGCGTTATGCAGACACAAAAATAGAACTTTCAGATACAGTGATAATTTAGGAAGTGTATTATTACCTGTTTTGCATTTAAATTAGTGGAGTGCATGTTGAGATATTCTGGAGAGAGCCACTGCTTTCTCTTCTGCATCCCAGGCAAACATCTTTGAAAAAAAAAAAAAAAAATCAGGCCCTGTGTGCCCTTTAGCCCTTGGCAAAATTGTAGTTGGGAGGAGCCCTCAAAGTCTATGAACTGTATCAGAACAAATCACTTCATAAGGCTTAACTGCAGTTTTATATGGTAAGCTTTGCTGTTACAAGGGAACAAAAAAAGCTTTTCAGCATTTTTTTTAGTCATTTGTATGGTAAAGTTGAGGCAACACTTGGCAGTGGCTGTTCCTGGCTTGGGGAATCATGAGTGTGAGCCTGAACACCCAGAGTCACGTCTTCGGGGACAGGCTATGACCTGGCCGCGCTGGGCACCAGACCTATCTCACTACCTACACCTAGTGCTCATGCAGGAGGAGACCACACGTCCTGATCTCCGCCTTTAGGGCAGCTGATTGTGCAAGACATAAAGACTCCTCCCAGCAGGGACTATGGCAGGGAAGTGCTGAACCTTTGTTCAGCCCAGACATGAAAGTGTGTTTGGTGATGTGAGAAGAAGGCAAATGCAGAGGCAGATCTTTAGGAAACATTCAGACACTTTCAGTGCCCGTGGTCAAGCAGTGTTTAGGGTCACAGTTCTAGACACACGTGTGTAACTACCAGTTAAATCCTTCCCTTGCCAGAGGGAAGAAGATGCTGCAGCACAGCTTATCCACCAAGCCTCTCTCTAAGCAGCTGTGCAGCTCAGAACCAGAGCCTTCACTCAGCTCAGTGGCTGAAATTCTCTCCTGATTAAATCCTTTTGAACCAGGGAAGAAGCCTGCTCAAGAGACAGGCGAAGGGGAAGCAGCTTGCTCTTTGCTTAGAGTTACAGCTTGGCCCAAATGATACCTGCTCCTGTCTCCCACAGGAGCTGGAAAGGCACTCACCTCCTCTTTCCCCCTGGCTGGCACAAGTGGTTTTTTTTTGTATTTCCATACAGCAAAGCTTCGGAGCAGCAGGGTTTTTTTCTTGTCTAACAAGCACTAAGAACAGGCTCCAGCCTCCTGCTGCTGGGCATGAGTATCACAGCTCTTAATATCCCCCTTACCTTGGCCTCGATTTTAGTTATTCTGTTTAACTGGAAAGTTCTGGAGATGCTTTGCAGGACATCAGAAAAGAGTATGCACATATCAGATATCACTTCTTCTTCTGAAGGACCTCGTTCTCCCTGCTAGGGCTCGTTTGTTCCCTTTCCTTGTTGAGATCAAACATCCATTCTGGATGGAAATCCCGTGGTGTCTGCAAGGCAAAGCTTTGCACGTATTGTTAATGTGTGACAGAGGCTGACACCACACTTGCCAGATCCTTCCATGCTACAGCAAGTCTCTCCTGTAATACCTTCCACAGTCATCACCATTACTCACCTTAATGAGGAGGAGTGTTCTGATTCTGAAGCAGCCTAAATCTCTACAATTTACCCTGACTTCTCGCGGATTTGTGGGTGCTCTGCCTGTAAGCGAATGAAAGACCCCGTTTTTAGATCCACGCTTACTGATGTGCTATAAACTCATCCTTTGTTATTTATAGCAGTGGGCTTGCAGCAACATCTTCCCGTTCTTTACGTCTGTGAACAGGAAGGTCCCTACAGCTCTCACTCAGCAGCCTGCCTGCAGACTGACAGGCTGCCGCAGCCGATACCAGCCCCAGCGCCCGTGTTGCACCAGTAATTCCCCTTTGGCCCCTCTGACCAGGCACACACAGCTCCCAGCAATCCTGCCTGCTCCTGCCAGCAGTAACGCAATTCTGACCTAACAGGTCAGCGCCCATCACGTTTCTTTAATTACCTCCTAGCTGTTTGCTACACTCAGATGTCAGGGCAGAGTTTTCCAGCGCTGGTGTAAGCAGAATAAACAGCAAAGCAGAAATGCTAACCAAGCTCTAATGTGGCTTTTATGTTCCTTTAAAAAAAACTTTTTTTTTTTTTTCCATTTCCCCTCTGCACTCTCTCTTAAATATGGGACAGTATTTAAAAAGTGAACTCTCTATTTTTCAGCCCTGAGAGACAGAAAGCTGAGCTGCCTACACTATAGACTTCTGAAATACAAATTTTCATTATTCCCTATCTTTTGCATCATGGTCTAAGGCCCCCACACTCCTGAGAGCCTTGTATTTTAACACCACACACTTAGAGGAAGAGTTCCTCAGTTTGAAAGGATGAATATTCAAAATGTGCAAATAAAACAAAAAAAAACCCCAACTTGTTCAAACATTTTTTATTAGTTTAAAAAAAAATATTTCCATGATGCCTAGAGGTCTCAGGTGTCAGTGCAGATGGACGGCAGACACAGGTCAGTGAGCCCGACCAAAACACGCAAAGCGAGAGGGTCAGGAAGCCACGAGGGAGGAGGGGAGGGAGACACACACCCCAGTAGAGGCCTGCACCTTACTTACAGTCGGAGGAGTCTGGCCTAAATATATTGTACGACTGGTTTATGAAAGACTACAGAGGTGAATGTAGTTAACCTATGGAGAGCGGGATTTTCCTGTTGTAGTGTCAGCTAATATTTCCATGTATGTTCTTGGAATGCTCTCAGAATGCTCTCTTTTGAGCTGTAAGTCCCTACGTTGATTAATTGCCTTCATTTTCACCCTGCAAGAGAAGACAGACAGGAAAACAGTTAAATATTTCCACTGAAAAATGTATATAAATAAAATTAGCAGAAAGAGCAATGCTGGTAGTCAGCACATAAACCCCCGTGAACAGCTACAAAACAATGAGGAGCGTATGTGGGGCAGAAAATAAATGAATTATCCCTTCCTGCTGGGAACCAGACACAGTCCCGCTGCAATTCGCACCTCCAGGGAAAACAAGGGTGTGATTTCGGAGAAAATGAGCGGTGATTTTGCATGTGGTGGAAGCTGAGCTAATGTGGGGCCAGGCAGCCACGGGCAGGAGCATCTCGCTTTCTGCTGCCGACCCTGCACCCGACCCTGCTGCACAGCCCCATGTCAGCCAAGGGGTCAGTTGGATTAGCAGGGTTCATTATGGGGGCTGGCACCCGGGGAGCTTCAGGCACTGCAAAAACAGTCTGAGCTTCAAAGGAGCTGAAAACCAGAGAGTTTGGGTGCCTGCAGTGCTGTGGGGCTTGTGGAGTGGGCAGCCAAAGGCCTTAGTGCCAAAATCATAAAGGAAATAACACATGAGAAGTATTTGTCCCTTTAAAGCATCCATGTTGGGCAATAAGAGGTCATCCTCCCTCGTTCAAGAGCTGAAATTGGCCCACAGACTGACATTTGACCCAGGGCTTTAAAAGGACATTGCAGGTAGAATAGATCAAAAATCTCATCCCCAAAATACCTTATTTAAAAATAGAAAAATCCACAGAAAAATCTAACTTGTCTAAAAATACATAGATAAATCTAGCCTGTTATCTAAAGCTCTTCTAAAGCATGACTGCAATGAGGAAAAAGCTATTCCATGTGGTGAGAAAACCACAGGAAAGCATTAACTATTATATATGTGTTTACACACCAAATCAGGCAGCGGGCCACAATCTCTTCAACCTGTCACTCATGGCAAATCTTTGGTGTTCCTTCCCCCCTAAAAAAGTGGCAAAAATGAAGACTGATGATCTCCAGCTTTTTGTCAAATAGCTCATGGAAGTGGGAACACTGATGGGCTCCACCGCAGAAAGCAAAGGGGAGATTGCCCGGGGGAAAACCAGTAACTAGGAAAAAAAACATGTGAAAGGAAAAAAAGCCCTGTGGGGAGCTCGGGGGATCACTCACCTCTCCGCCGCCTGTGCTTGCCTCCAGGGCCCCCTCTCCAGCCACCCCCAGCTGCTCGGGTGGCTGCGGTGTGGCCAGGTCCTCCTGTCAAGTCACAAGCGAGATGTTCGTCCTCACTGACACATGCAGAGTCATCGCCCTAATCTTAGACAGACTATTTGAGCAGGCTGCGCAAAATGGGTTTGAGCATTAAGAGTGCAAAGAAAGTATCGGGTTTAATAGATGGCAAATATTGCTCAGAATCTGTTTTTTTGTGCAGCTTGCTAGGGCAGATGTCTATGAAAAAGCAATCCACTTTCTTGCAGCCTGGTATAGGGTCTGTTTCATACAGAAAATGTGTTCTTTTTTGCAAGTTTTCTTTCCCGTCACTGTGACCACAGTTTTGACTCTGTCAGCATAAAGAAATTTGTGAGGAAGAAATAAATTTACCTAGAGTAAGACAGTTTATGCCTAGCCTTTCCCCACATTATCTTACTTACCCTAAGCATGCGTTGTATAGATTAACACTAATTTTATATATAGCTGTATTGCGGTGGCATTAATGTCATGCCTCAGATAACATGTCATTATTAAAGGATAAACTTTTCTTTGTGTTTGAAGTCCCAGCCTTTTCATAAGCACTTTGAGCTTTTTTAGCTACTTTGCTACATCCTTCAGCTACCTTCCTACTCAAAGAAGAAGAGGAAAGATTGTATTACCAGGCACTTACTTTAAATGTGATTTGGCCACATGGGAAGAGAAGACAAAAGCCCTGACTCTCCTGGGGCACAGGGGACGGACAGAAAGCAGCAATGTAGCTTTGTGGAATCAGTCAGCAAGAGCAGGGGGAAGCAGAATTAGCAGGACCTCTACAGTCCAGCCCCAAATCACCAGGGAATGTGGAGCTACAATTTCCAAGCTTCTCTCTTCCCTTTGAGCACACAGGCCCAGCAGTAACCCTGAATGTTTACTCTCCTTTCCCACATGAAGTCAGGCCCACCATTAAAGGAACCTGAGACACATCCATTATGTAAAAGAGAAGTCAGCTTTGCATGGAAGGGAAATATTGAATCACAGAATCATAGAAGACGTTGGGTTGGAAGGGATCTCTAGGGATCATCTAGTCCAACCCCCTGCCAGAGCAGGATCCCCTAGGGCAGGTCACACAGGAACATGTCCAGGCGGGATTTGAAAGTCTCCAGAGAAGGAGACTCCACAACCTCTCTGGGCAGCCTGTGCCAGGGCTCTGTCACCCTCACAGTAAAGAAGTTTCTCCTCATGTTGAGGTGGAACTTCCTGTGTTCTAGCTTACACCCATTATTCCTTGTCCACCCTCAATGCAAAACATTTCATCCTTATATCCAGTCTAAATCTACCCTCTTTTACTTTAAAACCATTGCCCCTCATGCTGTCTCAACAGGCCTTGTGAAAAAGATCGTCCTCATCTTTCTTAGAGATTTCCTTTAAGTACGGAAAGGCTGCAATAAGGTGTCCCCAAAGCCTTCTCTTCTCCAGGTTGAACAACTCCAACACTAGCAGTTTGTCTTTGTAGGAGAGGTGTTCCAGTCCTCTAATCAAATATATCATTTGAGTTTCAATATTTCGGAAACATGAGGTCACCACTTTGCTGATGTGCTGTAAATCAAACGTCCCTGTCAAACCTATTGTAAACAGAACTCAATGCTCCCTGTGCTTCGGGGGGCTCCACACTTCATTTTCACGTGTCCTTCTCTTTCTGTCCAGTCACAACTGTTCTCTTCATCAGAACATTCCTGATGCTTTTGGGACTGAATTATGGAAGAAGATGTGATATGAAATAAAATGGGGAAAAAAAAGACACTTTTCACAGCATTACATAGATATAAGGTAGATCCCATGAAAAGCTAAGCTGGAAATCGGACTTTGGCAGAAAGAGGAGCTGGGGGATGGAAGCACCACATCTGGTGTCCTGCCACAGGCCTCCTGCTCTCCACACAAGCTGCCATAATAGATCAATCGTCCAAAGAAAGAAAACAGCCAAACTATGAGCCGTCACCCAGTACTGATGTCTGTCACAGCTCCAGGTGGTCCCTTCACCCCCCTGCTGAGAGTCAATTGTTTGCAGAGACAGCCATGCACTGGGGCATCTCCACAGGAAAAGCACAGTGTGATTTTTATTTTCCTGAGGAATAGTCCCTTAATTTGCAGCATGTTGCTGGCTGAGATGGTTCTTGCTAGTTATCAGCCTGATCTGTGTTAAGTAATTCCAGGTAACCTAACGACGTCAAATCGTGCACATCACAGAGACCAGTTTCTGGTCTCCAGGGACTTGACGCCCCCGCTCTGATGGAGGCACTGAGCCTCAGTCTTTCCAAAATGAGTGAATCCTCCCGCAGTCAGCAAACAGAGCTCACTGCTCAGAACTTACAGATGCAGTTCTGGCCTCAGAATACAGTCTGTGGCTTTAAACCACTTTACATGTGTATAGGACTGTATAAGAAGGACTACACTTTATAACTTAACAGTGCATATTTGGTCAAAGCAGGTAAACAGCCTCAAATTGTACTTTGAAGCTTTACAAGTAGTTTTTTTGACTGTTAGATGGAAAGAAAAGAAACCTGTGATGCAAGCCAATGACAATAGCTGCAACAGCAGGTGCTTTGTAGGCTTTTTTTGCAGGTGGAGTCACCAGCTGCCGTCTGAAATTGTGAAGGTGAATCAAAGGCAAGAGCCTAAGGCGCTGAGCTGCGTCGGGAAAGCTAAGGGACAGCTCATAGGAACGCAAGGACAAGTACAACGCACCCCATCTGTCTGCAGGGCACCTACTCCTCCTGTGGCAGGGAGCTCAGCCCTGGTGGGTGCAGAAACTGATGGAAAAGGGGATCCGAGAGCGATGGGCGAGCTGAAAAATCCCCGTTCAGCTATTGTGCTGCTTGTTCTATCCCTCAAATCGTGCTCTCTGCCAAGACTCTGCTCTAGAAGGATAAAAGTGACTCACCCACCTATTTTTAGAAAGGGAAGCGACCGTGTTTCTGGAGAGTGTTTCTAAGCTGTGGTGGAGGAACCAGCACAATTGCAGGATGAGGAGGTGTCAGGCCGTGTTAGGGATGCCACCTCACAGCCTTTTTCTCACGCGCTTGCCAACCTGCCCAGAGCAGGGAGCTTGAGGTGAGGATGAGGAATGGCTGCATTTTTCAGCCAGGCATGAGCTTGCTGGGCATTTCCGTGACTAGTCAGGAACACAATAAACAGAGGAGGACCATGTGATGTAAAGGTCTTCACTTCGGATGGAGACTCACAGTGTGATGCTGGGCAGGAAAGCAAGGGTGAAAATCCAGGTTCTCTGGAGGACAGCAAGACCTTTGCCACTGCTTTCAGTGTTCATCTCCTCATTAAAACGGATAAAATGTTCTAAGGGAAAGGCATGTTGCAACCACAAGGTAATTAGTAACGCTCCTCCTGCTCTCAAACAGCGAGCAGATTTTTCCTCTCAGAAATTACGTGCTGCCTTAGAAAAAGCATTTAAAATGAACAGATTTAGTTTGTTATGGGCTGTTTTCTCCTGGTTTTGGGGGGCCTTTAGAATCTTTTTGGCTAAGGAGAAAAAAGGAACTAGTTTAACTTAACCGTTGAAGTGAAACATGAGACCATAGAATTCATTACTGGAATACTACATCTATATTTAAAAACCTGTATAAATATATTTGTATAGAGAATATATACACTACAGAATATTTATCTAAAATACAATATTTCACTAAGGTTATGAAACATAGATAGATGTTCAGACATCATTAATGAAAAGCTCAACAAGTAAGGACCTGTCATTTACAAAAATATTCCTGTGAAATGTTAAAAGGTCTTAAACAGAGTATATTATATGCTTCTGGGTTCAGGTATTTTAATATTTTTTTTTAAAAAACAGATTTTAAAAGTCCACAGATTTTGAAAAATAAATTAGTTACAATTTGATTTTTCAGATTTCTCTATTTTACAGTTCCCATGAAATTCCCCTTTTCAGCTCAGCAACTGTGTTGTATGTTCTGCTGTCTCAGTCTATACATGAAAAGTAATTTATATTTTTATCCATATTATGTTACAGGCCAGTGTGTTGGGGTTTTTTTGCAATCCCCCAAAATTCTGAGATAAACAACATCAAGATTATCTTCCTTATCTAAGAGAGAAACCATGCAGAGTCTAAATGTTGTATGCTGGAACATTACTCATCAAAACTCAACAAATTCAATGCCAAGCAAGGTTTCTTTATTATTATTATTACTACTTTGTAACTTTTTTTAATTTTCTTTTTTTAAGGCTGTAAAACCAGAGACCCACTGGCAGCCTAATCTGCTACAAATTTAACAGCCCACAGTGGGACATGAATTGCATAAGGTTCAACCTCCTATAGTGCTCTTGACCTTGGCTGTTGGAGCAAAAGCAACGCAGTAACCCCAAGCCACACCCTTGCAAACCCTCAGGCAACATGACAGGTCCTATGGATGGGCTGTCCTGGATAGGTCTCCGGCTAAATGTGCTCAGAGTGATGCTGACAGCTCTGAGCAAGAGGTCAACCTGTCATTAAAGTGAGTGGACCCACCGACGGGACAGACAGACGGGTGTGTGGGATTCCTGTCTCACCCTACGAATCTCAGTGGACTCTTAGGGTAGCTTTGTTCTCATCCAGCTCACAGTCAGACTTTCTTAGGGTTTCCTGGGGCTGCTTATACAAATAATGCATATTTGATAACATTTGCATTGTTATCCTACAGGATTATGGGGGCACAGCCTTTAGGCATGAAGCACACACACATACACAAAGCTTTGCTGACTTTAAGACTTCACCAGTGCCACTAACTCAGCTCTTCTGCTGCATGGGAAAAATGTATGCCTGCATGCACTAATGATACTGGGAAAAAGTGCCTGCAGGCAGCGTACCCCACTGCACGCTACTTTTCAGCCTCCCCTCCTCCATGGGAAGCTGAAGGATACCACAGGGATGCACGACTGCATCGGTGAAGTACACTGAAGCTTGAATACAGAGGGGAAGAGTTTCGACTATTTATTCTGCTTAGTTGTCAGGTAGTTTGGCTGTTGATTTCCCTGCTCCTCCTGCTCAGCAGTTCTGCCCTCAGTGCCCTCTCAGATGCCCTTGGTTAGTCTTTCCCAGTGTCACTTGCCCCACCCAAACTAACCTAAACAGGGAGGTCACTCATCAGTTGCTGCTTCCAATTCCTTCGGTGGCAGTGCAGGTTTAAGAGAGTGGAATTAAGGCTGTGGAAGTCAACCGGTCGTATTCAGCATGTGCAGTTGTTATGAAAGCAATGAGCGGAGGTACGGGTGTGGTACATCCGTGCTAGATCAAGCGTAGGGAGAAACGACGTGATCCAGTAAACGCGCCCAGTGGTTGCACATAACTGACAACTCCTCAAATAATTAATGGAGCGAGATTAAAAAAAGAGATCAAACCCAATTCAAAATGACAGAGCCATGAACTGACAACTAAGCCATATAAAAACTGACAGGGCAAATAGATCTAAAGGGAAGATGTAGGTGGAGGAGGGGGTAGGGCAGCATCAGCTACTTGCAAAATTCTTCCAGTCACTGAGGGACATTTTGAGGGAGTGTGTGTGTGTGAGTGTACATACACACGCTTGCTGCCAACCACGTGGCGTCTGCAATGCAGCAAACTTTGTGCTGTGTCATGCAGATGAAGAATTAATCCTCTTCTAAGACAGGGATATTTAGTGGGTGGTTATCTCACTGAAATCCCTTAATGTCCACCCCAGGGACTGGGATGGGCGCAGAGTCACAGACAAAGCACATTACTGATGGGTCTCATTCCTTCGCATGGCCAAAAAACTCACACATTTTTCAGTTAACACTTAAAAATTCCACCAAATCAGTCAAAACTTTCTTGTACTCAGTTAGCAGCCACCAGGCTTGTGCCAGATCCCTGCTAGGTGATGCCAGTGCTACCCGAGGTTGCTCTCATCTGGTGCTTGGCACTGCTCCCTAGGCCTAGAGTCACCTCATCCCATTTCCCTCTGACTGGCTCCAAGCACTCCCACTGAGGACAGCAAGGAGCAGCTGGCTGCCAGCCGCCCCACGTGTGCCCACATTTCGGTGCCTGCCACGTCCTGTGAAGGGCTGAATTCTCCCCTGTGGCCAAAGTCACTGATACACCCGCAGATGCCCACCACCCTGGGGCTGCTGCCCCAAACAAAACTTAATCCCAAATCCTTAGAGTTCATCGCTCCTTGCTAGTGTGTGCCTGTCACTGATCCCAGCTGGCAAATGCACAGTTTAAACGTCAACAAGCTCTCCGTGATTTATATTAATACTGGGAATGCTGAGCTGGGGACATGCCTCCTAGGCCACTTGGCTCCCCGGATTTGAGTCATCCTATAGCACAGCTTGGTGCATTCACACAGATCCTCCTGTGCTTTGAACAACCCCTCTGGAAAGTCAGCAGGGAACAACCCTGGAGACGGCTGGAAACAGAAATAAGCTGTTAGCAAGCGCTCTTTACAGTTAGAAAGAAGAAGGATGGGAGGGAGCATGAACAAGTCTCAGTACTGGATGTAATGGTTGTGTACAATTCTGGGATTGCAAGACTATAACAGTAGGCATTTATTTTTTTTAACATCTAACTGCTATACCTTATCAGTCTTCTGAGTGTATCTCCAGTGGGGTCTCTCACAGGCACCCCAGTGCCTGGTGCTGCTCTTGGCAGCCCCTGCCCATATTTCCATTAGCAAATTGTGCAGCGCAATAGGAGCAGACCTGGAGAGAAAGCAGCTGGTGCCAAGAACCCAGCACAACCAGGGCCCTCCCTCCAGAACAGCTCTGGCTCCGTGGCAATTAATGGTTAGCAGTCAGGATGGACCGGGTGTGTGTACGGTGCTCAATCTTCCGTGTCATTGCCATCCAAAACGTATCTAGCGGGCACAACTGCAGCACAGCGAGTGAGGATGACTACAAGATTTGCACTCCTAATCTAAGATGAACTAAACCAGTAGATTAACTCCTTCTTTCACAGAAACACACTTTTTCCTGAATTTCTTGCTTCTGTGGCTTCTTTCGCATCATCTTTCTCCTCCTGCTTTCATTCTGCTGCCTACCTCTGCTATTTGGCATGATACCATGATATTGCATCTAAAGCAGCTTCCTGGCTCCCTCATTCAGTCTGTCCTTCGGCATGTGACACACCCCACTTTTTTAGTTCTTGATCAATGCCCATCTTAACTCTAAGCAGTCAGGCATCAACGGGAGATGGCAGAATGACAGTTCATCAGATGCTTAATGCTTTAACCCTCTGGAAAACTCAGAGTTTTTCTATATTGCCTGTAGTCTGCATAACCCAGAACCATTACTTGGGTGAAGGAATCACTGATTTTCTAAGGCACTACACGCACAAGGATGGAACAGATAATGTTGACTACTTTGAGCTCTGCAATTAACACCCGTGAATTGTAGCATGCCTGTCTTTGAGGGGGGCTCTCACTGAGGATGAAAGGGGAAGAGGATTGCGGCTGCCTGGCCCTTGCCAGAAGTGGAGACAGTTCCATATCTGCAGGATAGATTCCTACCGTCAGCAAATTCCCAGCTCTCCTGGGTCAACTACCCTGCGCCCGGTCAGTCAAAAGGTAGGAGGGGGTAGTCTGGCCCCACGGAATTAGTCATCCCTGTTTGCACTCCTGCAGCCTAACTGCTGTTCCCTGTGGGAATAGAGATTAATCTTATCCCAAGGGCTTAGCAGAACTTCTGTATCTACCCTTTTCACATGCTTTCAGAAGGACATTTTGCGTCACATGTAGCTGCTGTTCTCTTTTGTTAGGCTATTCTCTCAGGATTTATACAGTGCGTAGAAGTTTTGTTTCACATCACAATGTGTTTACGTGCAGGTCGGGAAATTCATCAGCCAACTATCTGAACAATTAAAAAAATTCTGGCCAGCCTCGCTTCGCTTTGACTCTGGGTTTGGTTTTGCTATGACTCATCTAGCTCATGTCGCTATCAACGCCACGGGCACAGCTCTCTGAAGAGGGGAAACGCAGTTGGGCTTGCCAAAGAGCTGCCAAATATGAGCCTCACACACCGCACAAATGACTGCTCCCTCTTACCACCTGGTGAAAGCACCCTCTCTAATGATCGACTTCGCCTTTATCCGGGGAGCTGTTCTGCTCCTTCACGTGCTCCTTAATCCCCTCACTTGAAGCAACCCAGTTTGTCAAGGACAGAAGACGTCTTGTTTGAACCCGGCTTAATCCCTGCACAGTTTTTTGAGTCACGAGGGCTTTTATCAACAAGTCCTTGGTTCTTGCTGAAACCAGCACAAAGAGGAGCAGCAGGGTCGGGCTCTGCCCGGGTCGCTGCTGCCCTCTGCTGACTGTGGGGCAGCCGGGGACCAGGCAAGGGCAAGGGCAAGGACAAGGGCGAGGGCAAGCTCTGAGCCCGGCCAGATGCTCACTGCAGCCTGGCCACACTTCTACTCCAGTCCCTGGGGAAAATGCTTTTCTACATCCATAAGAAAATGGGGAGTGGGAGTCTTGCCAGCAGCGCCCATTGATAGGCACAAATTGATTAACACGTCCATCTGAAAGGAAGAAAACGCTGCTTCTCTTTCCTGTGAGGGTGGTCAAACACTGGCACAGACTGCACAGAGATATTGCAGAGTGTTCGTCCGGGGAGATATTCAAAACCCAGCTGGACAGGGTCCTGGGCAACCTGCTTTCATTGACATTTCATTCACTAGGGGATTGCACTAGATGATTTCCCATGGGTCCTTCCAAACTAAATGATCCTGTGATATTAGGCATTATACAGTAATAGTGAGCATTATATAAAAGCCAGTATTGCTGAATACCCCTCATTGAATAGGTAAAATGATGACTGCAGATATTTTAAGTGTAATCCAAAGACAACTCTTCTGTCCTGCACATCACTGAAGAAACAAACATACCTTTTTTACGACTCCTGTAGTGGCCACAATGGTCTCTGCTCCTTCTACAGTCTTGTTTGCCACCGTGTTCACACTCGCTACTACAGCTTCTCCCACCACGTTGGCCTGTTCTTTGGTTTTCTCAGCAACTGGAATTTCAATTAAAGCAGAAAGTTAATGAGCCAGGCTGTGTGAAAAGGCTGACAAATTCACTGGGATAATAAAACGATTGCATTGCGGTAAGAGAAGAAACTGTCCCAGTCCTTATTTGGACTTTATATAAGAGGTCACGTTTGAAGTTAGATCACGTACATGAGGGTTTTGTCTACTCAAAATGCTGCTCAGAGAGCAGCACTGTAGCCTATCAGTCTACATGGGCAACTGGAGAATGAAAAATCACTGTAAGATAATAAGAGACAATTGTGCGAATGAGGTATTTTGCGTTGCTGACTGCATATGACCTCTCTCTAGGTACAGTCTGTTTGATTTAATACACCTGGGTAGAAAAAAAGTAATCGTCATGAACCTCTCCAGGGTAAGGACCCATTTATCTCTCTTCAAGGCATTTCACATGGCTGCTCTGCTTCAGAGCTTGGGAAACCTAGAAGGGTCACCCTTAGGGTCCCTGACTCTGTGACTGCCTGACAGAGACTCCTAAAGACCACAGTTTTGGCCAGACATGATCTGATGCAAGCGAGTCCTCTCTGCATGCCGGGCAGCACTCCTGACATTATGAAACACCTAAATTGCTGTGAACCAGCTGAGTCTGCCAAGTACCATTTGTTAGATTTTTTTCTGACCTGCTCTGCTCATTAAATATTTTCTCCCATCTGTGTGTAAATACCAGACCTTGAACCATTGCTCTTGGCAAGCATCCTCCATTCATCAAATGGAAGGTCACGCAGATGAGTGGCATCCCCCAGAGACATTCCATTTGGCAGGAGTGACAGCCTTATCAAGAGGTCGAGCAACACACCATAGATTTCCACATCCCTCTGAGGGCCGTGCTCTTACCTGAGGTCACGCTTTGCACAACACCTTCCTTGGTTTTGGTACCTGTGAAAGGAAACACAAGGTCCATCAGTGCTACCTGGCAAAGAACACCCTGGTTTCTGGACACAGATGGCTTGCTCTTTTTATGAGGAGCAGTGGGGAGCCACGGTGCTGCTGGTACCTCCTGCTAAGACACAAGCCATTTGTAGAGCTGGCAGAAGGGATCAGCTCCATTCCTCATTAAAGTCAATGAGTATCTTTGTGTCAGGGGTTGGATAATTTCAACTGCAAATTGCCCAGAGATTCCTAGACCTGCAAAATCTTTATACCATGATGAAGTACGAAAAATTCTCCCTGGAATATTTCCAAAATCAAAAGAACAGTCAAGGGGAGGTAAATCAATAGTAAACTAATCGTAAAAATGAATCTACATTAAGTCACCTGGTAAAATCTCACCTGCTTCAGTCTTCAGGACAAGTCACATCTGTGACTCCCCCTCGCCTTTCAGCAGGGGTCTTGGCTGCCAGTGGTCTAATAAAGACTCTGGAGAAACCTGAGGCTAAATTTACAGAGCAACCATCCACCTATTACATACCTACTTACTGGAGTCCCATTTTAATGCCTCAGCCTAGGCTGTGCCTGCTTGCAGGATGCACAGAATGCAGATGTTTTTATCTCGAATTATAGAAATACACTGTAAATAGGCTTACATTGTAATTTATCTCATTGTTCTCAGAGCAGAAAAGCTAACAGGATGTGAGGGCGTTCAGTTCGCAACACAAGTAGCCTTTAAGGAATAAATGTCTGTGGTTTTCCTCCAAACTTGAAGTGACTTACTATATGTCTGTTCTATTTGTACATTGCAGCACATATGTTAAATCATGTGATAGATGGGCACCTGCCACAGTAACTAGATGCTTTTTCACATTACAACAATAAAGGATCAAATTTATCTCTGATGGAAATTACACCAACACGTGCCAAAATGTTCCACTCGTCCCATTTTACTGTATTCTGTAAACCATCTGCACCTATATAGGCTCTTTTCAAGTTTCCCATACTCATAAAACAAAAGGATTTTTATGGCCAACTGTTAAAATGATGGAAATAGAGAGCCAGGGAGATGTTTAACTTCAGAGGTAGTGGAGCATCCATGGGTGTGGTGGGAGAAATCAGCTACAAACTACGTCTCGTTCTCATTAACAGCCTGCAAAGCAAAACAGGTGCAGAGCCCTGATAAGGACAGATCCAGCCCACATCTGCTATGCCTGATACATGTTATGTATTATTGAAAGTGACTCTCAATTGTTGATTTATTTTGGTGGTTGTAATGATTGCCTGGGCAGAACAAAGCTGTTCTACTACAATGTACCCTCGACATTTCACTCCACCTTCCCAAACTGTATTAAAACTGAAGAGATGAATTCTCTGTACTTGACACTCGTTACTGCTGTAAACACAGCTCCTAATGATGCATAGGGCACGTGTGCACTGCTGTAAACCAGATTTTAAAACGCTGCCCATGCTATACAAATGGGTACAGCAGCACAGCAGTGAGCGGAGCAGATGCAAGTCTCAAGCCATGAATGTGAGCTCCTGAACGGGCCAGACTCTCGCAGCTCACCTCAGACCCTGTCCTGCTTCAGTTTCCCTACTGGTGCCATTCCAATGAAAGACTGCCACAGCATTGATTTGACATACAAAATCTTCTCACATCAGACACAGATGTTCAAGCTCAGCCCTTAAGTGCTGTTTTTCGGTTAAACAGCACTTGCTAGGTAAGTATATAATTTGCTGTACGAGCCTTGCGTATGTTTCAGTTTTACAGCGTACATGTAGTAAGACAGGAGCTGTACTTCCATATAATTTTTTACCAGACTTCTGATTTGAAATTACTATCTGGACTTAATTCTTTTCCAGAGGGGAGGGTGCCATATTTTCTGAATAGAAAATAGTTCCAGAAAGGAGGGATGTGGGTAAAAACACCCGAAGCCATTTCACGGCAGAAGCAATGTCATTGGGAAGTGCCACCGCTGCAGCTTGGGAAGAACTTCCCTCATCTTCCCGAGCCAGTCTCCTGACCACACCCAGTGACTCAGGCTCAGCATTCATTATGCACCACATGAAATCTGACCTTCTGGTGTACATCCTCCCGGCAACCCGCATCTGTGGAATCAGAAAGCAATCCCCTGATGCTCAATCTCATTTCACTCATTAGGCCTTGCCTGCAGCTTGTGTACACGGAATTAGGAATTAGGAGTTCATGCATCCTGCCTCTCCTGAGGGCTGTGAGTCATCTTGTAAGAGCTTTGGTAACGCAGGGGTGCGGCCGAGGTGGTGAGCGCTGTGCAGTGGGAAAAGGTTTAGAGTAGCAAAGGATATTATGAAGTGCAGTAAGTCCTGCAGGAGTTCATGCTGGAGTCACTTGGTTTAAGCAGAGCCTGGTGCATTGGGACTTTCTGTGACATGCACGGTTGAATGCTGCTCTGGAAAACTGGAAGTGCGTTCTTTGTGGGGACGTCCTGAATTATAGTATTAAACAGTACTAATGACATTATACTCAATACTCTCATGCAGCTTTGCACTAACCTCATTAATTAACTTCAGCATCACTTATCCCTCTACTTAAACAAAGACAGCCCATTAAATCAACTGTTGGATACGCATTAACTGTGCAGTGATCCACTGCCACGTCAGCATACCCTGCGGGTGTTACAATTTGGATAGCGGACTCTGATTCTACTAAGCTCAAAGGTGGTTCACGCTACAGGATTTCTCTCTCTCTTTTTGTGCCCCCTCTTCTCTACCCTACACCTTCAGCAAGTGATAACATGGGGCAGGAGCCCCCCATGTTCGTGACTTTCCTGGTGATGGCAGCATCTCTAACCAGCCCAGCTGTGAGCCGCACTGCAGTGTTAGCACAGGAGGGAGGCATCTCCAGCCCTGGCACAAGTTTTTGGGAACTGATCCTGTGTGGCTCAGAGGGGAGGCACGAGGTGGCCGCAGTGCCCTGATGGCACCACCTGCTCCAGGCACATGCCTTGGGACGAGATGTTATTTTTGTCTCCTTGGGTGGCAGCAAGTGACTCACCAGATGTGGTGGTTGCAGCCAGACATCTGGAATCCTCCTTGGAGAGTCAGCAGTGAGTTAACACAAACCTCAACAAAAGCCATATTCCATCCCAGGCTTTGGATTTTTTCCTCCCTTTCCTCATGCTTTGAAAAAATTTTAAAGCATTAATACAAGTATGTTCTCCTAGCATCCAAAAATTCAGGTTGTGTCACATAACGCTGTAAACCAAGCTGCCAGGGCAGGGCTCTGCAAAGGAAGGAGCAGGGAAGGAACGGTTCAGGTCTCCAAACCGAACCGTTCACGTGGCACAGAGTGAGAAAAGGCAACATGAACAACAAACTAGTCATCCCAGTTTTAATCAATATACCTAGCCACAACTGTCCCTGCTTATTTAAAATTCAGTTCTCTGAGCTAATCAGCGTCTGGCCTTTACTTTTCCTGACAGTGAAAGACTGAATTTTCCCCAAAGGGCTGAGCATCTCCCAGTGTGCAACAAGAACAGAACCGGCCCTGTGACAGGGCAGGAATCAGCAGCATACCAAAAAGTCAATCCAAAAAGATAAAAGAAGAAAGCACTTAATCTTCACCTTGATCATTATCTGATCCTCATTGAGAGATTTAGGTTTTAAGAAGGCTTTTAAAAAACTTTATCAGAAAGGTTAGAATCTCATGAGAAGACTCTGTACCTCATGGCTTTGCAAAAATGCAAAACAGGTCACAGCTTAGAGATGTACAACGGGATTGAACAAGAGATGTGAGGCATTATGCATAAAAACTCAGAATAACCCTTTCAGACATCACTCAAACCTGGAAGCAACTGGAGCAGTAGCAGTGCCACAGTTTGACTCCTATAGAAGTGACGTTACAGTTACTGTGGTTAGCTTAAGTGTTTAGAGGAATTCTGTTTAACTTCCTTTCTTGCAAGTCAGCTTCAAATTGAAATGTGAACTGATACATGTGTTCATTTAAAGCATACCAATAGTTCAGTATTTAAAATTTTGGGATAAGGACATTACCAGATCTGCTTCACATGAAATTCGTATTCCATTTGTCCTGTATAAATGTATACCTGTAGCCGTTGTCAACAGAGCTGTTCTAAACATAATAGCTATGTACAGTGGTGGATGTTGCAGCATGATAGCAGGATGAGACTGCATGTAAACTTTCCTCCTAAAAAAACCCTCCCTCCCACATCTGGCAAACATAAAAAGCTGTGTGGGGTGCAGTAATTATCAGTGAGATAATCAGTCTCGGGAACTTAAGACTTCGTAAATTTTATAGTATCTGGAATATCTGACCATCCAGCCGTATAATTGCATGCACAAGGTAGTGGAGGCCGTGGGTTTCAAGCGTGACCTTGAAAGGGCAGGGTTCTGAAGCAGCACATTAACTGTGAGAAGGCTCTGGGCAAGACATCAGACGTGCTGTTTTCCAGATCCTATCCTTCGGGCAAAATGAATTTGGGTGTCTCTTGTAAATCAAGATTAATACATGCACGGGGAATGAAACCAGTGAGTGAACAAAAGAAGGATTTTGGGACAAAACGCTATATTTGCGGGGAAACAGATGTATCCTGCAATCTCCACTTAATAACGCTGCTGGCTCCTCCTCAGCGTGTCTCACAGTGGGGAGGTGAGGTGGAGACCAGCAGTGCTCAGACATTTGGAGGATGAGTGACTCACCCTCCAAACAACCAGCGAATCGTCATAACAGAAACCTGCTACCCAGGCACCTGTTCCTTAACGTTGCATTAGTTCTGCTCCCTACCCCGCCCTGAAGAAGTGGCTGTTTTATATCCAATTTACAGCTGGGGAAACTGAGGCACAGGGAGAATGTGGCACCCCAGGCTTACACAGCGGCTCCACGACAGAGCTGAGGATGTTACCCAGACCTCCTGCCATTCGCTCCCAAGCTTTAGCCACAATATTATTTCCCCAGACTTTCTCAGAGACAATTTCTGCAGCAGTTCATGCTCAAATGTTGGTTGAAAATAGTTCTTTCTTACCTACATACATCACCCCTTCTTTAGTCTTCTCTGCAGCCTCAGTCACTCCCTGCTTGGTCTTTTCTGCAGCAGCCACCACACCTTCTTTAGCAATGGAGAAGCCTTTCTTAAAGACATCCATTTTTGTTGCTTGCTAGGATGTTACCTGGGTGATCTGAGCGCGGGACAGCAGCAAAAAGCACCTCAAGACGGGGACTGCAATGTGCAGCCTTACCCTCAGCGGATCCTCGGTTTCTCTGCCAGCCTCTGCTGCTGCTCTTACTCCTCCGCTGGATGAAGGCAGTGTGGCAAACCTCACAGCCTTTGCCGGCTCTTATTGATGAAGTGCGCTGCAGTGTAGCCAATGCCTGTGAACAGCTGATACTGAAATATTAATGATATGGATCTGCTTGGGAAGATTTAAGAAGGGAGGGGAGAGAGGAGGACAATGACATCGGTAGGTAAGGGACTGTCTGGAAAATTTCCAGACAGATAAAGCTTTTAAAATATGCTGTGATGCTCTCACTCAGGGATGCTCTCATGTGAAGAGGGAGACTTTTTATCTGAAGAGCTGAGTTCCTGAAAGAGCATCTCCCCGAGGCTGCAGAAGGAGGCAAACACAAGCTCTCCTGGGTTCCCAGAGGGTGGAGAGCATGTAAAGCTCTTGTAGCATTTGTAGCGAACCAACAGGGTGAGATTCCTCGGTCTGGCAGTTACCAGAATCCACTCTGCACAGAATGGTAACAAGAACATTATTTCTAGTAAACATTGAGAGAAAAAGGGAACCAGCAAAAGCTTGGTGCTCAAGTGAAGGGAGGTACACGTCCCGCTCACCATGTTTGTCAAGTCTGAAGGCATTTAGTGTAAATTATGGTTTTTGCTCAGCTGTACATCCCGTTACAACAGTTCATGTCTGAAAAATCAGATGCCTGTTGGGGGAAATCCTGTTTCCTATTTGTTTCTCGGAGTCACTGCAGAGCTGTGCTCCGCCACTGCAAAGTGAGATGAGGTTTTACACCCACACCATCACTCACATCGGAGGTCTCTGCTGCAGAGCATGGTGGGGTCAAAAATCACTCTGGAGAATTAATTGGGGAAATCTACAGTTTGCACAGAGGATCCATCCAGGCTCAAGGCCTCACTTGGAAAAAATACCAAAACATTTAATTATTGATCGCAATTGGATAACTTGATGTGCTTAACCCCAAGCTAAATTGTTTTCTGAGGTAGATCCCAAGCAGCCCAAACCAGCTACTGTCCCACTAGCAAACTGAAATTCAGTGCAAGCGTGTGAAAGCAATTGCTGGTGCAACAAGGTGATTTTTTTTTTTTATTTTTGATAGCGCCATATCTGAAACTATGGAAGCCATGGAGCATCAACGTCTGAGCACAAACCCTGACCAACTTTGGTTGCTTTTCCTTACCAGGCAAACAGAATGCAAAATTCAGAAGTTTAACTGTGTTACAGGAGGGCAGCATGCTGGAATATTGCGTAGTGGTCCATAAGGCACTGCTGCCACAGGTTATCAGCCTAGGAGCACCAGGTGGGGAAGGACTACACAGAAAAGAAAAAAGTGTGAATTAAAAATGGCATGTCTGTACACATAGGCTGACATGTACACAAACACAGTTCTTACTGTGGAATTAAGAACATGTCTGTAGTTTTTGGGAGTGCTTTTTTTACTGAAACAATTGAAAAACTTGATGTAGAAAATAATATGCAAATTTCTTTTTTTTTTTCCTCATAAATAAGTCTCCCTACATATAAATTAAGAACAAACTTCCATTTGAATGTAGGGGAGCCACATTTCTGACAAATGGACAAAATTATCAGTAATTAATTTTAAAAAGTGCAAGATTCGGAGGAAGGCCATCAAAACATACCAATTATTATAAGGGCTCTCGTTGTAGACTGTTGCAACAAGGAGTGAGAAAAGAGTTTTCTTAGACTCTTTCAAAATTTCCTTTGGGTGGCTGACTGGCCACTACCCAAAGTGCAGAGCTCACGCTCATTTCTGCTCCCAGGGTATTCTTAAGTTGAAGATATCTGCATCTTACTGTGCCATACAACCAGCGGTTTAACTTGGCTGCTCTTGGAGTCAGTCATAGAATCACAAGGCTCCCATTGATTTCATCGGGCACAGGACAGGAGTCTCGCTTTTACTATATTTGGTCAAAAGTGAATTTACCATCTTTGGGAATTGCTGCAGTGCCCACCTGCTTTTTTGCTAGGCTTTCAAAAACCATTAAAGCAGAACACAGAGCTTCCCAGGGTTATGGGTTTTGCTGGCATTTTCAGGAGAATGCCTAGACTGATAAGGCTGAGTGAGAAGCGTATTTTGATTCTGTTAAGCTATTGTTCTGTCATGATTTGTACAACTGAATTCTACATACTTTGCACTGCTATAAAAGGTAACAAATACACAAAATATCAACTATGCCTAGACATGAAACATGAATCACCACCAGATTGAATTAACCGGTACTCAAGTGGGATACTCCTTTCCTGCCTTCTCCTTTCCCCATGACGTTCAGAAGGAGCTCACGAGAGGCCTCTAAGTGCCACTGGATCCCTCCCAAGGCAGTAGCAGTTTGCACAGGCATTGGTTTGCCTTGGTCACTTTTAGGAAAACTCTAAACTCGAGACAACATTGTAGGAGACCTATATAGGGCAAGCATCAGTAATAGCTCCTGAATGTTTGCCAACCCATGGCAATTGCAGTACCCTACTGCTGTTCTAAGCAGAGGATTCAGTCCTGATTTGTTGCTAATCCTGCCCCAGGTGACCCTAACAACAGGAGTAAACATAGGCAACCTTGGCTTTACGATTTTGACAGGATCTCAACTTTGTGCCCAGTAAGTTCTTCCCTTGTATTAGATAACAATCAGCAGCTAAAAGGAAGGTCCTCCAGTGGGCAATTCAGGGAACCCAAGATCCTACAGCATCTGGCAGCAACCTCTTTTTCTCTGTCCCCATCTGCGACACTGGGGAGCAGTCAGTTAAGCTAGACATTAAGTTTCCTTTTTTGGTATTGAGTTTAATTCATATCACTTTGTAAACAAATTCACATCTCACAGACATTTATCTGATCTGCACAATACCAAAAAAGAAACCCTTGTCTTGACTTGTGCAATGACAACCCATCCACTGTTGTTCATTTAAAGTCTGAATTCTGGCTGCTCAGGCCTGTCCATTGAGCCACGTGCTGCATGACACTGTAGTCTCTTGAGGGCCTCCGAAAGGTGCAGTTCCCCACCTCCCACGTGCCCAAACCTCTCTCTGGGTGTTGGTGGCTAATATCTGGAAGCAGGCCTAGGAATCCTGGCATATGGGCAAGACAAGTTTAGCTCAAGTCTACCTATTCCCACAGCACAGATGCAAAGGGAAAGAAAAGAATACAAAGCAGAAATCAAGATTCTCCGTCCTTTACTGTCTTTTTCTTTGTGTCTGCAACAGATTAAACCAGGATTTTACTTAATTTGTGTCTCTTCCTTCCTCAGTTTTCCCAGTTGCAAGTCACTCTGCGATACAAAACCTTAACCTTGTCCTTTAGCGATGAACTTATGCTGGAGACTAACAGCAGTCAAAAGTATCTTGTGGGATGAAAGAAATGGGATTTGGTCATATTCTATTGAAGTATGTAAATCGTGTATGACGTTGTTTAAAAGAGAGGTAAGGAAAGGAAAGACCGACTGTTTTGTGGCTGGTAAATATCCTTTGTTTGGAAAGTTTTTGTATGGAGAATAATATTAACATTAACAGGATCAAACTTTGCTGTGTGTAAACAGAAATCCTCCCTCTCTCTCTCTCTCCACTTGCAAAAACATCAAAATGCAGAAGGGAGAACTGCCTCGGATCATTCATCTTCATGCCGTAACAAAAACAAGCAGTTCTCTCCGACATCCTCTTGGCAAACAGTTTAGGACTTGAATCCCTGCATGTACGTTTGCATAGTTAATGAGTAATTTCCTCTGCTAGGGAATGGATAGTGATGAAGGCTGACGAGCAAGCACTCACACAGCAAGCAGAGTGCTGCCAGCCCAGCAGTCTTTCGTGACTGATCTCTGCCACTGAATACCACTGATAGCTTCTGAGCAAACTAATAAAAATATAGTCAACAAGAATTCATCTTCTTGCCCTGAAGGACAGAACACTGGAGGGAATCGCTTCCAAGCCCAGCAGCCCCCCTCCCGACACTCCTCTCTCCGCGCTCCCCTTGCCCGGAGCTGCAGCGCACACACGTGCGCACATCGGTGACGGGCAGGGGATGAGACAGCATTTTCCAGATCTAAAAACCAGTGCCTAATGAGAAGTTATTCCCTTGCTGTGCAGCTATCAACAAAACGGTCCTATTCATCTTTCCAGACGTGAAATCCTTTCAGTTATTCACTCCTGCTTCAGAGATTTGGAGCTCTAAATCTAAATGAATCTAAATCAGTACGGGCTCATTAAAATAATTTCATCTTTTCTTGGCTTTAAAAATATTTTTTCCAAGGCTTTATTTTAATTTTTCTTTTAAATACACAGATTCTGAATTTAAGTCTATATTTAAAAGCATTATGGAGTAGGCACTGAATCTGGGAAGATACAAAAGAAATGAATATAAAAATTTGAATCCATTAATTGAAAATTTCATTTCTAAGGCCTCTTTCTCCATAAAGACAGTGACTGGAACAGCTAGCACGTTTCCTTTGCTATTACGTACAAGCCATTCAGCAAGAGCATTGTTTGGCACTTTACTGTGTGGTCACCCACCTCCTGGCCCAGCTCTGACTCTAAATAAACAGAAAAGTCCAAGACGGGATTTTACATCTTACACAGATTATCCAGAAGATTGTGCTGGTATCTGACAATTTGACTATGGAATTGCAAATGGCAGATGGAATTCTCAGGGCGGGCAGCACTGGAGGGGGTTAAGAGCCATGTTTCATGGAAATAGTTATAATTGCCAGACAAGGCAAGAGCAGCCCTGAGAGTTACCTGCAAGATCCCAGGGCACACCGATGAATTTGGTGTAACTGGCAATATCAGCTCTCTCAAGACTAGTTTTGACCTCTGAAGACTAGTTTGAATAGTTTGAAGAAGTATTTCTCAAAAAAATACTTGGGGGGAAAAAAGATTTTCGTGAATAATGGTGGAGG